AGTCAAAGAGGAAAGCCGAAACAGACCGTCCATTCACAGCCCAGGAGGGACCCGTCCCCAACAGCCTCCAGAGCCACAAGCAAATAAAACTCTGCTATTTACACCAGCTATTCTGTAGCCCTTTGTTAAGGAAGCCCTAGAAAACCAATACAGATAATCATTTAGTAGCCACGTCCCTTGCTCATAAGAACCAAGACTGATCTGGAGAGGCTTCCATGACTACCAACAGAAATCCCTCAGTCTGGTTACTGGACAGGACTTAAACACGAAATTCTAAATTTTCTGTGCTGTTTGTCAGTCTGCCGCTGACTAAATTCATCCCTACTCCTCCTGGCTCGTGTGTGAAGATGTCACTCTCGTCCGTCCCATTAACGCTGAGCTTTCTCCTCCCCCAAACTGATGCCAGGCCTCCAAGTCATCACTCTGCACACTGGGATCAGGATCCCAGCAACACCCTCTTCTGGGGGCAGAAGTAACAGATGCTAATCACACGTCCTTTCTTTGTTCACCTGCTACATCCGAACGCACAGCAAACGTATGCTCCTTCATGTGACGCATGTACAGTCACGAGCCACATGGACACATACACACACACATTTATCACCCACTCTCCTCCTTTCTATAGATTCTTGTTGCAGAAAACCAAGAACTGGCCTATCCTAGGGGTTCCAGGTGGAGCTCGCACCTGGAATAGGAGAGATGAGAGGAAGGAGCTTAACCTGCATTTACCACCTACTGAAAGTATATAAAGTTCAGACACATAATTACCCTAATTAACACTTAGAGCAATACTGTGAGATATGTACTGTTTTACAGATACAAAGAAATGAACTCAGAGTGGTAATGGTCACTCACGTTAAGCGTCCTGGCCGGGACAGAAACCTTGCTTTCCCCCTAAGTCTTGGCTGTAGCCCCACCAGGAGAAACTTCTGAAAGGTCCAGAAAAAACAGCCCCGCTCAGTCCTCATGACCACAGCAGGTCTCCTTGAAAGCTTCCACGGCAAGGCCGTTATTGGGGTCGGGAGGACCTGGAGATGGGAAATCTCCCCTCAACCATCAAGACTTGGCTCCCAATCCAACCATCTCACAGGCCCGGGGAGTGTTTAATGAAGCTGATTTGGATCGGTGGAGATTGGTGTTCGGGCTGTTCTCTAAGACTTCTAGAGGGGCCAGGAAACACAACTGTTGTTGGCAAGGAGTCCAGTGCTGACCGTGGTTTTATTTTTAAGTAAACCTCTCTTACATTTTTCTTTTCAGTTGCCTTTTCTATTGAAAGTTCTTTCAATTATTCAAATCCATTCCATCAGAATTCATTGAGCACCTATTCTGTGCCAGACACAACGGGAGTATAAAAAGGTCACTAAGACACCGCGACAGGAACCTGAGGGGCTGGGAGGATGCAAGCATCCCAGAGATAGTGCTGAGATACAAAGATGAGAACTGTACTGGGGTGCAGGTAAAGAGCTACAGGAGTGCGGACAGAGGAGACACTGCTTCCGCTTGGGAGAAGAAGACATGGTGGACAAGGGGCCAGCATTTGATATAGACCTTTAGGAAGTACTCAGTCAAAAAATATTTACTGGACACACATCATGTGCCAGGCATGTGCAGAGACCTGGGGACAGAAGAGAAACACAATCCCGAGCCACAAGCTACCTGCCTTCCAGTGAATAAGAAGACAATATGCAAGTAAACACATCAGTTACAGCTTGTTACGGATATAGCAAGACTTCCCTGGGGGCTCAGACGGTAAAGCATCTGCCTACAATGTGGGAGACCTGGGTTCAAGCCCTGAGTTGGGAAGATCTCCTGGAGAAGGAAACAGCAACCCACTCCAGTATCTTGCCTGGAAAATCCCATAGACAGAGGAGCCTGGTGGGCTACAGTCCATGGGGTCACAAAGAGTCAGACACGACTGAGCAACTTCACTTTCTTTCTCTCTATTGATATGAGGATTAAAGGCGCAGAAGGCACTGACTGCGTCACCCGGGGTGGGTGGTGCTGGGGGCAGGGCAGGGTCCTACTTTGGCAAAGTGGGCAGGGGAAGTCTTCGTGAGTTTCAGTGGAGATCCGAGGCACAAGAAGAGCCAGCCATTTGAAAAGTGGGGATTGGAATGAACAAAATCCTGTGAGCCTAAGTGACAAGTTCTTAAAAAGAAAAAGAATTGGGGATTATTAAGAAGGACTCAAGGGTCAGCCAGCTTGAGAGGGCGCTGGAGAGGTAGGTGGGCTTGTAAGGCATTGGTCATGAGAAGGAATATGGATTTTCTCCCAACTGTAGAAAGACTTTTGAAGGGCTTCAAGCTGAGCGGCAGTGTGAAGCCAACTTACACCTTGAAAAGGTAGGGACGGAGCACCACACGGAAAATGGACTGAGCTCGGGGGATAAGCAGACTGCAGCGGCGGTCCCTTTTGGGCAGCGTGCTTTATGCCAGGGTGAAGCTGGGAGGTGGGTAGGTAAATTTGAAATACATTTTAGAAAAAGAAACAACAGGAATTACTGGATTGAAATAGAACAGGGCCTTTAAGGAGACAAAACAACATAAGCAAAGATTCAGAGGAAGAAAACGGTGAGTCCGTGTGGGCTTCCTTGAGGCTGGAGGAGCCTAAGTCTTCCTTGTAGCAGAGCTCTGGGTCAATGAATAGCATCATCCTCACTCTTAACTGCAGCTTTACTTCCCACCTCCCAACTCCACTCTCCACATAAACTCACTGTAATTAAAAGGTAAAGGTTGCAGAGTTCACAGACACCTAAGCAAACATCAAGGCCAACATTCCCCAACATGCAGTCTGTGTGATACTTGTTATACTACATGCTTCTTGTACAAAGAAAGAGGTTTTGTGGCCAAGTAAGTTTGGAAATGACTTTCACATCCCTTTTCTGGATGGCTACAAAGCACATCGGCACACTAAAGACTTGGAGATTTTTTTAACACAACTGTTTCCATACTGTTAATGGTGAACCCACTGTTTCCATACCAATAGGATTTGGGTCCCTTAGTCCATAGAACAGCCCTAGGGATCCTGGGGAGCCACTGACCTGGCCCGCAGGACCAGCTGAATACTTTGCAGGGCTCAGCATGAAGTGAAAATGTCAGGCTCTTTATTCAAATCTCATCAAGAATTTTCCAAGCCAGTGAGAGCAGAACATGGACCCCAGTGTAGGACCGTTTAAAGGTGGGCTCCAGGACTTCCCTGCTGGTCCGGGGCTGAGACTCAGCTCCCAACGCAGGGTGCCAGGGTCTCTCCTGGTCGGGAACCAGACTGCACACACCACAGTGAAGACAGAAGATCTCATGGCCGCAGCTAAGACCCAGGGCAGCCAAGTAAATAAGTATTAAAAACAAAGAAGCAAAACAAAAAACAGCCAACCCACAGGGCTCTGAGAGACGGCAAAGATCCAGTACAACTGTGAAGCCAGCCTCTGGAGGCGCGTCATCTTCCAGCCTAGGAGGAGGGGACAAACCCAGAGCGGCGAAGCGGCCTCCCCCGGGATCTCACGTAAGGTCAGAGGAGGCCCTGGGTCTGCACCCCGGGCCATGTGACCACTTGCAGGATGCAGGCTGGCTTCTTCGAGGCAAGACAGGCCCCCTGAGAGGCGGCTCTCCCTGCTCCGTCGTAACGGACCTCACTGCGCGCCAGGTGCGGCCGCGCCATCTCTGGCCTTGACCCGCTTGGCAGGCCCCCTGCCCCTTCAAGTTTGTTCCAGTTTGCTACTCAAGCCAATTCCCTTGCTCTTTGGAATCATCACCCTGGTTTACTGCAGCTGGTCACAGAACCTAATTACCACTCTAAGAGCAGTGTGGGGACAAAACACGGTTTATAGAGATACTATGGATGTCTAACTAGAGCAAGAAAACCAGGGCAGCAGGGCAGAGGAGAAGACCATGATTATCCGACTCCCCCCCCCCCCCCTGTTTGTGAGAAAGAGACAAATATTTCCTATCCACATCCCATAAAACATGTAACAGTATTTTATACACAGCAGGGACCCAAGAAAGAAAGAGCTTTTCCTCCAGTAAAGGCAGGGAAACGGAGGCAGTCTATGTGAAAACAGAACGACCAGACTGAAACACAAGGCCAGTGCCCTGTGAAACTCTAAAGTGGGTGATGCCTGGTTCTCCAAGAATGAAGTCAGGGAGGCCGTGAAGGAGAGCTCGGGAGCAGACCGCCCGAAACAGACAGGCTTGGAGAGAAGACAGGAAGAGTTTCTGCTGCTCACCCCACTCTGCTAGTCAGCACTCTGCAAGAAACAGACCCAGCAGAATCTACCTACCTGTCCACGCCGAGGGGGGCAAGGAGGATGATGTCAACACAGAACAAAGCTGAGAGATGAGGACAGAGAGAAGCCGAGCGCTGGTGACGGCCTGGCGCCGGCTCAGCTTGGCTGGAACTTCTCATGGCCTGAGTTACGAGTTTCATCGCCTGCGTTTCATTTCACGCTTAAGTTGCCTGAAGGTTTTTTCTCTTATGGGCAATCAGTCCTGACGTGTGCTGTGAGCGCATTATGCTCAAAGAACAGCCAAGGGGGTGGGCTCCCTTATGGAAGGAGCAGTGAGCCGGCCGGTTCCCTTTGAAGAAGTTACAGGGTCGTGAAGCGGGCGAGTGAGCTGGACTCAGCTCTGGAGGCTGCAGCGAAGTCTATGAGCTACTTACGTCGCACCATTAACTGGAAATCACTCTGTTCCTGCAATTCCACCCCTTTGACCATGAAAATCACCTGGTGTCATTTGACAGGAGCAGGTACAGTGTACCGTCAGGGCTGGGACTGGGAGAGGGAACAGTAGCTTAGTATTCCTATTCCTATTATTGTGTGGGGCTCTGGGTAGTTGCGGGGAAAGGCCAGCAGTGCTGGCTGAAGCTCCCTGATGTCCCCAAGAGGGTGAAACGAGAGGCCCTGATCCGAGTCGGGAAATAAATGAGCGGCTCCTACATCCTGAGCGACTGCAAACTCAGCCACGCCAAGATCAAAAAACAGAGAGCAGAGAACGCCCTCCTACCGCTACCCGTCCCGGCTCAGGACGAGCGATCAGGAGGAAGCCCCGCTCCAGGCTGCTCCTCTGGGGCAAAGCAGTTGGCGCGCCCCAGCGTCCCAGCCTTCTGGGCGCTGCCTGAGAGACCGCCCGCCCGCTGCGCCTCTCAGCGGGCTGAGGGCCCGGCACCCCGGGTCCCGGCAGTCCCCGAGGGCGATGACCGGCGCACAGGCAGCCGCGCGGCTCGGCCCTGCAGCTCCGCGGGCGGTGACGGCCCTCAGGCCCAGCTTCCGGCGTCCCCGAGGAGCACGGGCAGGTCGGCCCGCCGTCCCAGCTCTCCGTGGCGCCCCAGGGCCTGTCTTCTCGCGTGCTGCGCTGCACCGACAGGACCGGGCACCCCAGACACCCGAGGGCTGCCGATCGGGAAGCACACGGGCTCTCAGCGCAGAGCGCGCGGCGGCCCCGCGGGCCCCTGCGCCTCCCCGGGGCCTGCTCCTGCGCCAGGCCTCCACGAAGACCGGAGGGGTAGCTGTTTCGGGTAGCGAGCAGACACCGGCACCGAGTCTCTGTAATCTCAGTTTTTAGGATTTTCCCTGAGGAAAAAACAGCCTTTGGTGAGTCAGCTTCATGTTATTAGGATTTGGATGGAGCATTGTGTAGAATGCTGAAAAACTGGACATAGCCTAAGTGTCTATCCGTAAAGGAATAATCACATTAATTTCAAATATAATGCAATAAAATAGGGAAAAAGCTCATGAAACTCAAAAATATTGACTTTTAAAAAACTAGTAATGTTAAAATAACTTTAAAGTGCTAAAAACTATAATTCTAAGTATGTAAATAAATGTAATAAAATAACAGGTAGCGAGAATGTAAGTAATTTTTAAAGGAAATTTTTTTCAATCATCTACAATGAATGCATGTTAACTTTAAAGACAACAGCAACATTTTTAAGTGTTGAGGAATTTTTCAGAGAAAAAGGAAAATTCATTTCTTTTGTATACTTGACTGATTTTCAGTGAGAAGGAGAAAGAGAAAAAATTATACATTTAAGAGGAGTGTATTTAAGCCTCCTATTCCCAAAGCTTCCCTGGTGGCTCAGAGAGTAAAGTGTCTGCCTGCAATACAGGAGACCCGGGTGTGATCCCTGGGTCGGGAAGATCCCCTGGAGAAGGAAATGGCAACCCTCTCCAGTATTCTTGCCTGGAGAATCCCATGGACGGAGGAGCCTGGTGGGCTGCAGTCCATGGGGTCACAGAGAGTCGGACACGACTCAGCGACTTCCTTTTCTTTCTTTTCCTAAAGCAACCCCAGAAAAGATGGTCCCTCAAGCTCCTACCACTTACTCAGAAAGACAGGCGTTGAGTGCAGTCTTCCAGAGTCTCACGCGGTCTGACTACCGTGGGCTCCTGCAGCTGCTGTCCTGGGGCAGGTCTTTGGGCAGCCTTTTCCAGCAGGGCCAACCTTACAGAATAGGAAGGCCCAGAGCTTACATCTGGGCATGGTACAATATCAGACTAGACGCTGAGGAGCTGGGTAAACCTGGGCCTGGCTGCGGGGATGCCGCCCGGAGCCTGCCAGGGCACAGAGCCCGAGCTTCAGCGTCTCCCGAGCGGGGTGAGCTCTAGGATCCCCTTCTCTCTGCCCCCTGATAGTTGGGGGACGACAGCAACACCGCTTAACCTCCTTGAGCTCAGCTTCCTCAACTATAAAAGAGAAATGCTCATCTCTTCCTCCTGGTGTTGTGAGCAGGGCGTCCAACCAGGTAACTCTGGCTGGTTCAGCTGTATTGATTGAGAATATATGAAAAACTTTCAGTGCAAGTTGGTAAATAATCAGTGCCTCAGTGTCTGCAGGGTCCCACGGCCCCGGTCACACATCTCCATCATCTTCCAACTAGAGACACACGGGACTTCCAGGTCTGTTCCAGGGTACCTTTGAATCATCCATAAAGCTATCTTACTGCTCTGTTAAATGTTTTGAATACCATCTCTTGTTGTGGGCATTAAATATGAATGAGGTGGCCCACATTCATGAGATTATAGACTGCAGAGATTTGGAGATTTTTTTTTTTTGTAAGAAGCATATACTTGCAGTAACTGACCCAGGTCAAGAGGACCAAGATACCTCCTCCAAAAAGGTGAGGAGTACTTGAAGAGGAATACTTGAAGGGTAACGAGCACTGAATAGTAAGACCTAAAAGCAACCCTTTTGGCCTTTAATCTCTGCCTGTCCCAAGTCAGAGGAGGGGCAGCTTCGACCTTTCATTAAACCTCATTATGTAATCACCAGAAGTGAGCTTCCTCAGTCTTGTTATTTTGTATGTGAAGAACAGAACTAGTTTTTTCACAATAAAAAGAGTTTCTGTACATGATCTTAGATTTTAATAGGTCACCCAAGAGTTTCTGACACCAATAAAGTTTAAGTGTTGAACTTACCGTCTATCTGGTTTCAGGGCTAGGCTGCCAACTCTTCAGAAAACAGAGGCTCTAAGAGAAAAATGCTTAATTTATGATTTTATGATTGTGTCTTCTCTCCAGGGGCATTTTGTCCATTCCTTACAAAGAAGGCCCAGAGCAGTCTTCCCAGAGATATTTCATGAGAGTGGCCACTAAATAAGGTAGACAGCACTCATAATGGACAATTCACACTTACTTTTCTCCAAAGTATTTTGCTTGCCCTTTTATGATATAATATTGAGAAACCTGGATACAGATAATCTGACACAAATTTGTTAAGAAAATGTATTGTCTAAATTTTCTAGAAATATGCACATTACTGATACCAAAGTGAACACAATATATACAGAATTACTTCTTTCTTATTCTTGATGAACATGTTACCAAAAATAACATGATGTTGAACTAGGCCAGTTTCCAGGGGCATTGTTATTTGGCTGGAGTGAGAGTTACACTAATTCAAGTGTATGTAAATAGGATAGAACTCAGATACTTTTTTCACATATTAGGTTCCCTGTTAAAAATGTGACCATCTTAAGGCTGTCTCTTCTGCTCATTCTTGGTCCTAATGAAGTCCTGGGGAAAACAGAACAATCCAAATTCTTGTGTGCCCGTGTCTATTTTTTTGGCACTTGATTTTTCACACCTGTTCAACTCACTTGGAAACCTGATACTCAGAGGCTCCAGGGCCCCTGAAGACAGTCTGCTGAACTAGTCCTGTTCTTTCCCTCGGGATCAGAAAGCCCGCGAACCTCATGCCCAGGCTATGCACGAGGGCAGTGGGCACTTTTCACAGGTGTCCCTGTTGGTGACAAAGGACAAACTAAATCTCCTAGAGACTCATCTGCTAGCTTTTTCTGATGACTTCTGTTTCAGGGTCTTCTCTCTCTAATTAGCCTCCCCAAATGGACTGTTTACTGCATAACTAGTCTTGAGCTTGCTCTTTTCTCCGAATGAAGAGAAAATTGCACTTCATTTTGTGGAGCTATGGCGCTTACACTGTGCAGTTAACACCGAGTGATATTTTAGAATTCTAGATGGCAGCTGTTCAGAGTTTCCTCACTGGCAATTACTAATGGTGAATATATAAATCCTCTTTAATAGGCAATCTAGCCAAAATTTTTCTAAATATTTATCTTCTTAAATTCAGATTATTTTCTAAAGTGTATTAGTCTAATGTGAACAAGAAACATTCTTTTTAGGATCCAGAGGAAAGTTGAAAGCATTTATAGCCTTTATCATGTGGCCAAATAAATCACTGATCACAATAAAATACAGTGTGGTGATTTTAACATCTTCCTAGCTATGCCTTAACATCATTTTACCCATTTCTGTTATTTTCTTTTAAATATCAATCTGAAAAACCCATACTTGTTGTTTTGCCAAGGTCATTTTTCAAAGTTTGTTTTTATTTGCCCTTCTACTACAAGTAAAGAAGTGGAACAAAAGAAGTACACACAAGCTGAAATACTAAAAACAAACAGAGTTCACAACATGATTCTTTTTCAGTGCTTGAGGCTTCACCTTTGTAGCCAACACACAACAGTGTCTCTCCTGTTCTTACAAGCAGAGAGTTCCCTTGGAGCAAATAAGAATCTGTGGACAAAGAGCCCAGGGTATCGAAGAAACTTCCTAAACTTTTCTTTCGAAGAAATACAGTCCTTACCTTTTCTATAGGACCCTTGAATTGAATAGAAAGTGGGAACAAAAATTAAAAGTCTTTAGGTTAGGAGGTGAGGAAATATCCACCAAAGAAACAATAAACTGGGAAGAGTGAATCAAAGGATGAACAAGGAAGAATCAAAGGATGAAAAAAGCATAAGATAGGTGCTCAAGGACTGACTCCACAGAAGGAGGCACTCAGGAGGTGGAGAGGAGGTGGGAGTCCCGGAGGTGAGGAAGCAGGGAATGCAGGAGCTCACCACAACACACACCGCCCGCCACCCTGCCGTGGGTCTGCCTGCAGGGAACACAGCGGGGAACTAAGAGGGATCTCAGGCTTGGGGTAGGCTGAAGCTCGCAGACAATAGGTGGAACTGCATCCAAAATGATGCACAAGACTCTGTCTGCAAGGCTTGTCACACACACGGTCCAAATCCAGTTTTGACTTTCTCAAAATAAGGGTAGGGAATAGTTGATTCCCTGGTGGCTCAGAAGGTAAAGCGTCTGCCTACAATGCAGGAGACCCAGGTTTGATCCCTGGGTTGGGAAGATCCCCTGGAGAAGGAAATGGCAACCCACTCTAGTACTCTTGCCTAAAAAATTCCATGGATGGAGGAGCCTGGTGGGCTACAGTCCATGGGGCCGAAGAGTCGGACACGACTGAGCAAACTTTCTTCTTTCTATTGTTGAAAAGGATTCCTACCAGCTGATTAAAGGAAAAATGGGCTGTGTCTGGGGAAGATGTTGCATTCAAAGGTGGAAATGCACCACAAGATATCCAGGGATGGTGAGAGGAAGCTGGTGATTGGGACAGACTTGCACCCACATCAAAGGAAACTTCAGTGAGAGACTGCCAGCAAAGGGGAGGCTTCCAGAAAACTCAGGAAAGTGTTCTGTGGCAGAGCCAGCTTTGGACGTCTACTGCTGATTGAGGCCAGTCAAGGAAGACTCCCCACCGCCTCCCCACCCCCTTGCCTCTCCTCCCACCTTCCTGTCAAGGAGCTGAGGGTAGATGGAGAGGAGTGGGGAATGATGGAGCTAATCACGCCCCTTCCCCTTCCCACATCCGCTGATAGGCCGGAGCTGGAGGAAGGAGAGATTGCAAGTGTGAATATTAATTCAGAGTTTTGACTAGAAATCCAGGTGTTTGAATTAAGGCTACTCTACAGATTAAATATTTTTATTTTCTAGCTATGATCAGAAAGGTTAATGGTACATTTCTCCAATTTTATCTGGAGACAGAAGAGAACCAACCCTTGGAGTGGGTTTGCTACACCAGTTGTAAGACAAAATAAATTTTAAATTACTTTATGATTGCTCCTTAAAAGACCTGTTTTTTCATTGTAATGGTAACATAGAAATGTACCTAAACAGTTAAACAGGTAGGTGAAAGCAATAACTTTAGAATAACTCTAAAAATGAGAAAACATTCCATGGAAGAGATGTAGAATTAGGAAAGACTGAAAATCTTC